CAATTACAAGCACCGACGCTGGAAGAAATAGCATACAAAGAAGAAATAATAGATAGATCTTATGTGTGAGTCGAAGCACTATTATTATTATATATAGCGTAGATAGTGTAATATAATGGAAAGACTGATACCGTATACAGAATGTAGAATATAGTGCGGTGTTATATTAGTGCGCATTCGCGGGTGTATAACAATGGGCGTTTGCGCGTATTATGCCAGAGAGGGGATCCCACTGATGTATGATCGAGGATTAATTCGAGGGGCGTATGCTATACTGGTCCGTGGTCCTGAGGGAGCTACGGTGCTTTGCTCTACTCTGTCCTGGGCTTATCCACCGCCCAACAGGACACTCTTTCCTCCCTTGCTTCAAGCTTGAATATTACTTGTACTTACATTATCTATATCCTACATATCCTCCACCCTTATAAGCTTAATACCCAACACAAGCTACGTGATGAATTAACGAGAGTGTCATGATCGTTTGTTCGTTAATAATGGTAATTCTTGTACTTTGTACTTGATGTACTATGTACTGCGCTTTACAGGATACAACTCAAATAGTAACAAGTGGATCAAAACAATCAGGATCATACTTAAGGTATTTTTTATTTTCTATTTTATTATTATTATTATTATTATTGCATTTTTGAGAATCTGATTTTATTTGGATTAATATTAATTATTTAATTAAGTTTTTTAATTTTAATTTAAATTGCAGGTTGAATATTGAAGATATAAAAAAATGAAAAAAAATATTTTTTTATAGAAAGTAAAATTTTTTATAAAAATTTTCCTTATAAATTTTAATGTCTTTTGCATTCTCAAGACACAATATTAATTTTTAATTATAATTTATTGAAAAAAATTCCATCTTAATTTATTATTAATATTAATTAGAGTTTTTTTATTTGAAATTTAAATAACGGGTTAAATATTGAAGATATGAAAAAATAAGAATACTTTTTTGTAGAAAATTTAATTTTCTATAAAAGTAGTCATCAATTTAAATTGTATCTTGCGTCCTTAAGAAACAATATTAATTTTTATCTAAATATTATTTAAAAAATTTAATCTTAATTTATTATCAATTAGTTTTTTATTTTAAATTTAAATTACGGGTTAAATATTGAAGATATGAAAAAAAGGTTCACTTGAGCCAAGATAATATTTTTCTTCCTAATTATTTTCTTGAGCAAAAAAAAATTTTTTTTTGACACGAAATTTCTTTTATATTCAGCAATATTATTATTATCATTTATTTATTATGATAAAAGTTTTTACTCCGTTTTATCAATGTTAAATTAATTAAATTCCTTATTTTTAGATCCTATGACTTGTAATTGGTGATGATAATTATGATTATAATGATTACCGACATACATGTAAATGTTAATGGATATAAATTGTCAGTTGTAATAGAATTTGAAGATCCTCATCGTACATTGCACATTATGTGTTACTATCATTAATCATGAAAGCTGGAGGGATAGGTGAAGATAAAGATAATGGATATGGATGGCGATTGACGTTTAAACTCGTATAGTAACTTCACCTGTAACTTTGTATCATGCAACTACTCTTAACTTGTATTATATGCATTATATATTATTAGAAATAGTTTTTTTAATAGGTTTTTTTATTAATGATCACGGAAATTGGATAGTTATATACTTTGCTTGTTATATATTAGCGGGAATTAATAATTGGTACTTTGGTCTTTTCACCTTAATACTGAAGAGGTAGATTTGGAGAAGGTTTTTCTAGTTTTATGGATCAAAAATTTTTTGAGCTTATGAGATGACTTTATTTGAATCTTTTGATATTTTTAATAAAATGAACCTTAAAAAATGAACCTTGAGAAATTGGATTTTTAATTTGTAAATTTGTGCAATTTGGATCATACAAAAAAATTTTTGAATTAATTAAAAATTAATGTTCAAATTGGTTTTTTCTTTTAAATCAAACCATAAAAATTATTCAAAATATATTTTTTGATTAAAAATTTATCTCTTTTTGTCTTGATATTTAAAAAAAAATTTTTTATTCAACCAATTTTTTTTATTAAAGTTCAAAATTATTTAAAAATCAGACAAAATAAATTGTAATTTTTTAAAAACTTTATGTTACTAAAACATCTTTCAGTTATTCAAAAAATGAAGCAAAAAAAATTTTTTTCTTTGAATGAACCTCAAAAAATGTTTTGAAATTGAATTTTGAAAATTATTTATAAAATAATTTCTTTATTTTCGATTAAGCAGAAAAATTCTAGAACCAAGAAATTATTGTAAAATTTGATTAATTCAAGCCATGTAAATTATTCAAAATTCTTTTTTTGTCTTGATATTTTTTTAATACTTTTTTATTCAACTAATTTTTCTAAAAGTTCAAATTTATTTCAAAATCTTAATAAATAAATAAATTCGAATTTTTTAAAAACTAAAAAAATCTCTTAATTATCAAAAAAAAAAATATAAAAATTCAATTTACACTTACATACTAAATTTAAATAATTCCAAAAAATTATTAAAAAAATTTTTTTTAATCCATTAAAAAAGTATCACCCAGTTTATATATTTGTCCTGTTAAATCCAACGACTCGAGCCAGCTATACTTATCTAATTTCACTGTAAAGGACACTTTGCGGTCGGGTAAATTTTTTCCTTCCATCACAGTGTCTCTAGTTATAGCCGAGGCTCCAAATGACACAATATCTAGCCGCGCAAAGTCGGAAGAAAAGAATAAAAGTAAATAACATCAATAATAACAGAAGAGACACAAAATATATAACAGTACCGGAGATTCTGTTTTTTGGAAGCTATTTCCGGCAAGATTACAGGGTTAGTCTGAGCGTCAGTCTGCCGATGAAAACCGACGGTAGTTATTTCCGAAATTTCCAAGAGTTTTAGTTATCCATTAAAATAAACCGTACAATCTCATTCTCAACGAATGCGGCTCTTTTTTTTCGATCAATCCTCGAGGAAACGAGTTAATTAAGCCGCCATCTGCATCTTCACTTTTAAAACCATCTATTTTAACTTGACACAAAAATTAGTCTACTTCCGCTGATCGATATTTAGCTATTAAATTAAAATCGCCCGGCGATAAATTTTTTTATTAAATTATTTTATTGAAGTTTATTTAATTGATTAAAATAATAAAATCGATTGTAATTATAGGCTTTAATTGTCAGCGCAATGCATCTTCTGTAGTGTATTTAATTTCCGATAGGGTATTAGTACTGTTTTAAACATTTGTCTCCAAATAATTGGGCAAAGAAGGATGTAGCTCCTCTGCAATTAGAGGCAGTAAAGGTGGCCACATCCGGTGGAGCCGCTTAAAGAGAGACCGAGTTCTAGGATTATCGGGGAGTAGGAAGAAAGTATATAATAATAATAAAAATAATTGTTACGAGCAAATAAAAACTATTAGTGAAACAAAACGTCGCTAAGCCGGATGTTATTATTTTTTAGTTTAGGAACAGTGATAAAAAATTTTTGCTAAGATTATTATTGAACTAGATTCAATGGATTTTTTTTTTACACTTTATATTTAATGCGCTTTTAAGAGAATTCTTAATTAATTAATTTGGTGATAAGTTATTTAAAAAATTTGAGCCTTAAAGAAAGTTTTTTAAATTGTGGGGTAAAAATTGGAGATACAAAAAATTTTTAAGAAATTTAATCCCCTATAAAAAGATCCTTATTAATTTTTCATCTTTGATATTTTAGCTGAAATAATTATTTGGAAGAAAATAATTTTTTTGAATATTGAAATGCTTTTTTGGAACTTTAAAATTGAATTTATGAATTAAATTCCATTTCATTATAATACTAAAAATGCTCAATTGAAAATAAAAAATACTTTAGTTTGGTACAATAAAATTCGCGCGAAAATAAGAGAACAAACTATAATTAAAATTTTTAAATTGTTATTGAAAATATGCATAAAAAAAAAAATGTAGAATATTTTGAGAAATTAAATGCGAATGATGAAATTAAAATATGTTTTAATGAATTTTATAGAACTAATTGTAGAACAAAAATAGCTACTTAGCTAAATAAATATATTATTATATTATATGAAAAATTTGTAGATATTTTTTATAGGAAAAATATTTTTTTTTTTTTGAAATTTTAAATTGAATTTATGGGTTAAATATTAGAGATATGAAAAGTTTGTAAGAGAGCTTCTTTGTAAGAAATTTATTCTTTCAAAAATATCCTTTTCAATTTTATCGTATCTGATATTTTAGCCGAAATAATTATTTGAAAGAAAATAATTTTTTTGAACATTGAAATGCTTTTTTTTTTTTTAACTTTAAAATTGAATTTATGGGTTAAATATTGAAATTTTATCAAAAATTTGTAAAAGATCTTTTTTATAGTAAATATAATCTTGTATCAGAAAGATTTTTATCAATTTAATCGTATCCTTGATATTTTAGCGAAAATAATTATTTTAAAGTCAAAAAAGAATTTTTTTTAAACATTAAAATGATTATCAATTTTTTTTAGAACTTTAAAATTAAATTTATGGGTTAAATATTGAAGATATAAAAAAAAAAAATAAAAATCCAAAGATTTTAATTGCAGGCTAATTAAAAATATTTAATCGTGTAAAATTTTTTAGTTGATTATAAAAAAAAAAGAAATAGTAATAAAATAAAATTAAAAAATAGTAATAATAATCACAGTAGTACTTGTTATTTTGTTTTTCGCAGGTGCTACCGCGTCTTTTAGTATTTATGTTTTTAAATATATGTATGTATATATATACACGTACAGAGTAATAGACATCACATATTTCATTAATTAATAATAGTATTTATAATTATTTATAACATGTATATCTCTAGAGTACACTTAAAATAATAATTCTTAATTATGGTTATAAAAAGATATGCGGCCTTATCAATTATTTATATTTATATTTATATTATTATATATCTATATATATTTTCAATAATAATTATTAAGATGATTTTTTTAAGGAATAAATTAACAAATTGGCTCAGTGAGGGGCTGAGAGGGTCCGTAAGGCGAAACCCACTGAGTTACGGAGTGTCCGAGGGAGGATGTCCCGGTTTGACCATCCAGGTTAGTCACCTGAGCTCCTGAAGAGTGGCTGGGCATACCCGTAGGGTACCCGACTTTCCCCAAAGCTTCGGCTTGCAAGGAAAGCATCAATCTGTTTGCAGCTTGTCTTTCGGCTTCTCGTTCTTCGGCTGTTTGCCTTCTGTAACAAATTTTTATACATTAATAATATTAATTAAAAAAAAAAATAATAATAATTTAAATATTAAAGCCTACTAAGTCTCTAATTTGACATTTTTATTAAAAATTTATTAAAGTAATAATAAATAAAAAATAACATTATTATTTTTTTTAATTATTTTCTTGGTTTGAAAATTTTCCTCTTAAATCAATTCAATTTTTTTTCAATATACACAGTAAAAAATTTTGCGTCATTGCGTCAAAAAATTTTGTGTTAAAAATTTTTTTGTTAAAAATTTTTTAACACAAAATTTTTTGACGCAATGACGCAAAATTTTTTACTGTGTAATTATTATTGTTGTTATTATTATTATTATTATTGGTAAAAAATTGGAGCATTGATTTAATGTCAAAATTATTATTTTACAGCTACTGGAATAAAATTTTTTTACAGCGCAACATTCCAACTTTTTGCTTTGGAAAATAAATTACGTTATTGATTCTAATAAATATTTATGACTCATTAGTGAGAATAAGCGTTAAATTATCGATATTATTAAAAGCATGCAAAGACCAAGTGGTAACCCAAAAAGGAATAAACGTTACAAAATATAAATGTAATTATAGCATCCTAGTTTCAAATTCCGAATAGTATAAAAAAAGATCCATAGTAATAGTAATAAATAATAAATAATATAACAGACAATATAATAATCCGATGATATTTATATTAATGACACGAAAAAGAACCAGTTTATATAATGATTAGTCTCGGAAAACGAGAAAATTAGTTTAAAGGATCGTAGATCCGCCATAGATAGAATCTAATTACTCGAACGCCGGACAAAAAGCCCGAGAAAACTGGATATTTGTTCCTGTTAACTTTAATTTTTTTATCCAGCCCCCACTGTTATTTTCACTGACAACATTGTAGTAACGTATATTTACGTAATTATCTCCATATTAAATAATCCCACAAAAAATCTGTTTTTCCTTTTACAATAATGACACTTAGATACTATCTTATAATTAACTTCATTGCCACCTGCATTAGACAGTTACATCTACATTATATTTTATTACTTCAATACTATGTTTTTTACACCCGTTTAATTACAACGTGAGAAGTAATCAAATTTTTATTACGTTATTGTTTAAAAAAATTATTATTATTTTTATAATACTTTTGGGAATCCCATCTTAATTATATTAGTTATCGAATTGCATAATCAATTTTTTTGTTTTAAATTTAAATTGCAGGTTAAATACGGAAAATGAAGATACGAAAAAATGACAGGAGTACTTTTTTACAGAAAATTTAATTTTCTATAAAAATAATCCTCATCAATTTTATTATATCTTGCGTCTTTAAGATACAATATCAATTATTAATTATAACTAACAGCCCCGCAGTCAAAACAATGGCTTTTATTAAATTGCACTTTACTTTTTTAACTATTGACGTTTTTAAAGATTATAAGCTCATCCCAATGTTACACTCATCAAGAGCTTTCATTTGAGTACCCACATGCATTTTTGATATATTTTTCATATATATAATATATATAAATATATGAAAAATTGATGAGGGTACTCAAATGAAAGCTCTCGATGAGTGTTACATCGGGATGAGTTTATATCTTTAAAAGTGTCAATAGTTCTCAAGATACAAGGTTGTTTCTTAATTATGTTAAATTGCACTGTACTTTCTTAATTAATAATATTTGTAAAGATGTAAGCTCATCCCGATGTTACACTCATCAAGAGCTTTCATTTGAATACCCACATGCATTTTTGATATATTTTTCATATATACATATATATAATATATATAAATATATGAAAAATTGATGTGGGTATTCAAATGAAAGGTCTTGATGAGTGTAATGTCGGGGTGAGCTTATATTTTTAAAAATGTCAATAGTTCACAAGATACAAGGTCATTTCTTAATTATGTACCTAGAGATAGAGCATTTTCGAATGCAGTCTACTTATTATCATAAATTGACTATTGGTGAGAATGATATGAAACGGTACAATTCTAGGTCAAGATTTTTCCAACGATACCAAATTTATTATATAAATACACTGGCCACAAAATTTTGCTTATTCTCTTAATAATATAGATGATTTAATATTTTGATAAATATGATGTCCACAAGACTGCTGGCTACATGTGCCATTCAGATTAACTTATGTATTGTTTTGAAACCCTGCTATTGGCCCTTAGTCTGTTGGATTGTGTGCAAAGAAATAAAAAAATAAAAATAATTTCATCACCAATATAATAATCGTAAAGAATAAGTAATTTTCTATTAAAGAATTAGAACAAATTAGTAGTAGAAAATCTGGAACAAAAATAAGTAGGATCTCAAAAATAACAAACAATTATTTAGTTGTATACTTCTTTTGCGCAATAAATGTAGTCTATAATATTAAAGGTTTAGTTGCGGAGAGACGAAGTTAAAATTTTCTAAGAAAGACGGGAATTGGCGTTAACGCGTACATTGGTTTCAATTTTGTTTCGACGCGATAATCGTCCCTCCGTATACATATATAGATGTATATAAATACAGATGTATATGTTTCTGTAAACCGCAGAAATTAGAAAATAAAAAAGCAGCCGGGACACGCGATGATCGTAAAAAACAAGCGGAGAGTGTAGAACTAAGTTAAATTACAGGAAGATGTCTCTTGGTAAGGTTGGTGTAAGGTATAGCGAGCGCCGGCGCACACACTGAACTCTTTGCGTAGCGATTTACCGATTAGTTGTTTTTATAACTGTCCTTTGAGCAACTAACATGACCTGAGCCAGAAAAGTACGACGTTAAAACACACCCTGATTATAGACATTAATTTAAACTAATTCGAAGTAGAAGTTTACTCGCACGATCTTCTTAAATTTAACTTCAGAGTTTAGTTTCGGAGATTAAAAAAATCCACTTCAACTCCGCTTTTCTCACGATATATTTATTATTATATATTATATATATAACTTTCTAAATTTTTTTTTACATAATCTTCATTTTGGCTGGTTAAAAATTTTTTGCTTCGCTTTTATTGATGATTACTTATATGTAATTCATCAATTGATTCGTAGAGTAGGTACAGGAAGTTTTTAGTTAAACACATCATTATATTTATTCGACGAAGTCATTTTAGTTATTTTGGAATATTATTGAGAGATTTTTTAGATTTTAAATTATTAAGATTAAATTTTAAGAAGAAATAAAAATATTTTTTTTTTTTTTTTTTTATAATTATTTTATTAAAAATTTAATATTTTAAAAGGAAAATTGTCCCGAAAAAAAATTCTTATTATTAAAAATATTTAATAATTATTTGATAAAAAAAAATTAATTAAATGCAAAGAAAAAATGAAAAATAGCAAATTTTTTATTTTTTCTTTCGACAAAAATTTTTTGTAAAAATTTTAACTTAAGCAAAATTTTGTGGCCAGTAAATTTAGTCTTGTTAAATAAAATTTTTCTCAAAGCTAGAAAATTTTTTAATTGCCAAATTTTTCACAAAAAAATTGAAAAAAAAAGTCGCTGTATATATTTGTATGTTTGTATATATTAATAATAATCGATAAAGATAATTAAATAGCAGAGTAGGAAAAGGAAAGTTGGTTCAGTGGGTTTAGTTGCAAGATAGGAGCGACGGCAGCTGTATGCATAGGAGCGTAGTGGAGAATAACGAGATGACCGTAGGCACGGACGAGATAACTTGGTCTCAATAATTCAGATACCTAACAGCTTGGCCCTGTCCCCTGTACATTATGTAGTCTCTGGTATCTCCCCGATCCCCTGTCGGAGCTCCACTCCCTCGTGGCTCTCCCTTCGCATCTCCATCTCCCTCAGCCTCCCCCGCTCTTATATTCACTGTTGAGACTTTGCGGGTAAGCCCAAGCTCCGCGGGTCTATCGCGAATAACCTACGCCAGCTCTTCTTAGCTTTTAAACTGTCAAACATTCACCGTTCAAACTTTCTCAACATTTGAATCACTTCGAACTCTATTTTCTTATTTTTTGTCCTCTATTTTTTTTTTTATTAATTTTTTTTTAAGTTTATAATCATCAGAATAATTGTTATTGTAATTTTACAAGAAAAAAGAATTATTTTGATCTTTGTTAATTTTTTTAGTTAAAATAATTTTTTTTGTCCATTAATAATTGAATAGAAAAATTTTGCTTTATTAAATAATTAATTTTGTTAAGTTGCACTGTATTTTTTTAATTATTGACATTTTTAAAGATATAAGCTAATCCCGATGTTACACTCATCAAGAGCTTTAATTTGAGTACCCACATGCATTTTTGATATATTTTTCATATATACATATATATAATATATATTTCAAATATATAAGCTCATCTTGATGTTACACTCAACAAGAGCTTTCATTTAAGTACCCACATGCATTTTTGATATATTTTTCATATATACATATATATAATATACATAAATATATAAAATATATGAAAAATTGATGTGGGTATTCAAATGAAAGGTCTTGGTGAGCATAACATCAAGATGAGCTTATATCATTAGAAATGTCAATAGTTCACAAGATACAAGGTCATTTCTCAATTATATATCTAGAGACCGAAAATTTTCACTAAAAAAACCCATTTTATCATACGATTATCCTGGACACAAAATTTTTCTTATTCTCTTAATAATATAGATGAATTATTTTTTAAATGAGATTTAATAATATTAAAAATATATATTTTTTTTTTATTAATTCATCAATTGTTAATAAAAATTGGTATGTTTATTATAATTCAACCATAATAAAATTTTTCATCAATTTTAGTGTAATTAAATTAAGAATAATTTATTTTTGATATAAAAAAAAAATTTATCATAAATACTTTAAAAGTATATGTAGAAAATGTTCTGAGTGAATCATTTGAATTTCCATATTTTATAATATTTTTTTATGTAAAAATGAATCATTTTTCTTTCCTAATAAAATAATATAAAATAAAAACAAGACTATTAAAATTTGATCCAGCAATTTATCTAAGATTTGAAAAAGCATTTAAAGGCAATTAGTGAATATGAAACGAAATGAACAATTATCGAGGTGTATTTATTAGGAGTAGACATGTGTTACCGCGGAGTCGACGCCACACCATATAAAAAGATATGAGACAGTGTTGGTATTAGATAAAATTAAGTATGTGTACCGTAAAAGAGGCGATTGTTGGTGGTCTGTTGAAAACGCTTTTAAATTTAGTATTTAAGAGTGTACCACTAATATATCTTCGGCGAAGTATTATATCGAGTATCGGAAGCTAAATTTGGCCGTCTCATCAGGTGGACACGCCCTTGATACGCCGGGTATACAGATGATACAAGAGACTTTACTTTTTATCTAAATTACGTGTTTTTCTCCGGCTTATCTTCAAAAGAAGCTCGTCGATATTTTTTTTTTTTTAACTACTTATACTTATATACTTGTATATCAAAATAACTACGACCAATCGACCTACACTAACGACACTTGCTTCTAAAAACTGGTTTTTTTACCTTCGAAATAAATTAACAAACAAATTTTCATAATATTTACATTTGCTTGTCCGTCGCGTTGATCAAATTGAAAATGTGTCTACTTAAATTGATGGAAAAATAATTTATTTGAATGATAACTAGCGACTTTTAAGAATTACAAATTATGGATAAAAAAAATTTAGTTAAATAATTTTGGAATAAATTTTGAATGTAATATTGCTATTTTAAAATAAAGTGATAATTATTTAATAGACAAATGTAATAAAATAAATTTATAGAATCAAAAAACTATTGAAAATTACTTCTCATAAATATATTTTTAATAGGTGAAAAAATTGTTGTAATAAATTAACTATTGCTGAAAAGGGACAAATTCAGGTCAAGACCTTTCCAATAATACTTAATTTTACTTAAAAAACCCATTTTATCACATAAATACCCCGGAGACAAAATTGTATTTATTTTTTTAATTATATTGATGATAATTTATATTAAAAAAAATTTATTATTATTATTTTTATAATACTTTTGAAAATCCAATTTTATTTATATTTATTATCAATTTTTTTTATTTTAAATTTTAAATTAAAAATTGAAGATATGAAAAAATGATAAGAAAACTTTTTTAAAGAAAATTTAATTTAATTTTCTATAAAAATAGTCATAAATTTTATTGTATCTTGCGTTCTTAAGACACAATATTAATTTTTATTTATTATTTATTTAAAAAATTCAATCTTAATTTATTATTAATTACTTCAGCTTTTTTATTTGCAATTTAAATTGCGGGTTAAAGATTGAAGTTATGAAAAAATTAGAGTTTAATTTTTTATAGAAATTAAATTTTCTATAAAAAAAAAAGATCCTTATTAATTTTATTGTATCTTGTGTCTTTTAGACACAATATTAATTTTTTATCATTGATATGTAGCTTAATTATCAATTTTTATTTTGCGCACAATTATTATTATTATTGTTATTGTTTTAAGAAAATAATAATATGTCATCAAATTGTCAACTCTGTAATATAAAACACAAAATAAAGAGAGTAATTAGCTGATTACCTCCACTTAGTCCTCCTATTTTGAAACCACGTCTTCACCTGAGCGTCCGTCATTTTAAGTGACTTTGCGAGGGCCGCGCGTTCTGCAGAAGCTAAATACTTTTGCTTGTGAAAACGTTTCTCCAGCTCGGCAATCTGTAACCTCGTGAAACTTGTCCTCGGTTTCTTTCTTTTCGGCGGCGTTCGATTCTGATAAGGATGACCAATTCGCCTCGGGAAAGTTCCCGCCACTGAAATTTAAAATAAATTATTTGTATAAAAGTAAGATAATTATGATGAGGTATTTTAATTTTCATGAGAAACATGTACAGCGTTACTTTAAACAATATCTTTAAACTTTAAATAGTTAATTTAAAATCTACTGTTTACTGTTACATTGTAATGTGTAATATGTCCGTTTATGTAAATATAGAAACAAGTTACACGCTCGTGATAATACTAATAATTACTTTAGAATAATTTTTTTATTATTCTTTCATTTATGACTAAACAAAGAAATTATAAATAAAATGGTTTAATGTAGTCACGGAAAAAGGTGTCAAGATCAAAAATTAATTGAATTTTTCCTCTAAATAATTATAAACGTCATAAACAATTTCTTTTTTTTTATTAAATTAAATTACATCAATTTTTCTTCCTATAAAAAAATATCTTAAAAAAATTTTTGAACAATTAAAGCAAGCAAAATTTTTACTCTTAAAAATTTTACAATTAAAAAAAAAAATAAAAAGACTGAAAAATATTAAAATCTTTTCAATAAAAATAAATAAATTTTCTTCAGCGCTCAAAAATCAATTTTACAAATTAAAGAGTGAAGACTCGAGAATAATTGCACCGAAGTAAATAAAATTACATAGGTATAAAACATTTGATTGCATCGATGCATTAAAAACGCATCTCACAAATAATAACAGTGTTATTATTTAAAAAATCTAAAAATTGCAGTTATGAAAATTAGCCACTATTGATGAAGTACGTTTACGGTGATGGTGTTCACATTTATAATTATTTTTAAAGAAAACACAGTTATATTCTTCATATATATTATATATTATAATGATAATAATAATGACGAGTGTGTAAATTGCAGCAGCAAGATGTTTGACGAGTTTTGCGTATTATTATTTAACCTCGAAGATTTATTCCAAGTTGTCTTCATCTATCTTTATTTTCAATGGCTCTTTCTTCTCTCATTTTCATTTGCGGCTTAAATCACAATTTACAACGTGTTGAGTTAGTGCTGGTGAATCAATGTTCGCGCAAAGCCCAACCAGTGGAGGCCTACAATATACAATATATTGTATATATATACTGAAGCTAAGGCTAACTATCATCTTATATTAACCCTTTTACATTTAACCGTTCCTTTACTTTGCAGAGTGAAGTTGAAGCCCAACTAAATAACTGAACATCACCAACAAACTTTTTGTTCACCCGCGGTTAACTCTTTTGAGCAAAAACCGTCACTTTTCACTCCATCATCCTTTATTATTACAGAGCGATAATCGCGTACTTGCCCATTGCTTTCATTATTGCATTATCACATTTACTTTTCCATTGTGCAACTTCATAAAAACAAGATCTTTTGTTGCAATTCAAAAGTACAAACAATTTCTTCTTTAACAATTACCCTTTTTGTTAATTCTAAAGGGCTTATTTTGAAGTTATCAAAGTGTACACAAATACAATAAAATACACCAACAAAACGTATTTTGATTAATCGCAGTCTGTTATGAGATTATAGCATGACCACCGACACTTAAGCAATCCAAATTCGTGATATAATGGCCTTATGCGCACAAAACAGGAACCATTACGTGCATTAGTATGTCCGCGTCATGCGAGAAACGATACTTTGCCGCCTATCTTTTATTGTTGATCTTTACACAATTCAGTACTAACCGTTTTTTTGCGTCCGTCTAAATTAATACTGAATAATAAAAATAATTCACATTAATACTCCATTTTATTTTTCGGTGATTACGCTATTCAAAGTTTTTCAATCTTGAGTCCTTGAATATCCGCAAAATAGTTCTTTTTTCAAAGTCTGCATATTTTCCTTTATTTTCTGTGACTTTTCTGCAAGAATTGTTTTTCAATGGTCATTTTTCTAATTATAATCACACTAATAAATAAAATAATCCGAGAGAAATATTTTTGAGTCAAAAACATCATTTTTAAGAATATAAATCTCTGTTACTACTCGGAATCTAAATTACTTCTTACAGAACCCACTAGATGGCGTTAAAAGATTTTTCTGACTTCAAAAATCTTAATTAAATTCATTCTTAAGCCTTTAAGTTTAAGCAAAATAGTTCTTCTTTAAAAATCTGCATATTTTCTTTCATTTTTTGTGACTTTTCTGCAAAAATTGTCTTTCAATAGTCATTTTTTTGTCAAAAACATCATTTTGAAGAAAAGAAATCTCTCTTACCCTCTAGAGTCTAAATTACTTCTCACAGAACCTACTAGATGGCGTTACCAAATTTTGCTGACCTCAAACATTTTTATTAAATTCAATCTTGAGCTCTTGAGTTTTAGCAAAATAGTTTTTCTTTGAAAATCTGCATATTTTCTTTCATTTTTTGCGAATTTTCTGCATAAATTGTCTTTCATTAGTCATTTTTAAGTTAAAAATACCATTTGGAAGAAAAGAAATCTTTGTCACCGCTCGGAGTCTTAATGACTTCTTACAGAACTCACTAGATGGCGTTAACAGATTTTTCTGACCTCAAAGATTTTAATTAAATTCAATCTTGAGCCCTTAAGTTTTAGTAAAATAGTTCTTCTTTAAAAATCTGCATATTTTCTTCCATTTTTTAAGACTTTTCTGCAAGAATTGTCTTTTAATAGTCATTTTTGAGTCAAAAACATCACTCTGAAAAAAAGAAATCTCTCTTACCACTCGGAGTCTAAATTACTTCTCACAAACCCCATTAGATGGCGTTAACACACTTTTCTGCCTTATAAGTATTGATACAGGCATGCTGATCATTACTTTCGCATCAAAAGATTACGTCTTAATGCAACTGAAGTTAAACAGAGTAATTTTAGTTCCAACAATGTTACTTCATAATGATGGACTAAATAAGAAATGAGAAATCATCTAGTTCTCATGCGGGAGTATGAAAATCGAAAAATCTATGTCACTAACGTTAATTCAATAGCATAAATAACTAATTTCTTCTCATTCTTCTTATCGCATTTCTCTCGGTAAATGTTACTCGACTCGACTGGTGTTGCATCACCCGTATCCTGGCAAACTTGTCATAAACTCAAACTCCGGTGAGTATATTCCTCTTCAGATATTCCCCGACAAAAACTATATAATATTAGATTAGACCGACAGATAAATGGAGCAATTCTGCCAGTGGAATTGAATTTTAAACAAATGCAATCTGCATATATTTACAATCCTGTAAATTTAGCTATGGAAGAAATATTGTGTCGAAAAACAAGATGGCCAGGCGCTGCAAAATGGCCGGCCCACGGAATGTGCCATTATTTGTATACATACAGTGGATTTATATTAAGATCATGAATAATATTACAAAATACATAATACTCTCTCTTTCTTCAAGATTTGTTCCTCGGTCATAATTCATAATTCATAAAATAACAACATACAACATTTACATTACATTAAATTTCGAATCCTTGAACGAAATGACTTTCAGTAATAGAAAAATGAAGTACTGCACTTATTAACCATCAACCATTATGAATTATGATTATTATTGTTATTATTATGGTTGAAAATGGTTTAACAGCATCACATGTTACATGTATGATAATAACACGGATTAAACCGCGATCCAGATCCGCGGAATTCTCGTGACCCAGTGAGCTTGAGACATAACCTTTGTCGGTGGTGGCGGTGAGCTGAATCCTTACCTGCAATTGAACAAAGTGAGTCAGGTCGGCAGATTTGAATTACGCAATCCCTGTTAATCTGTAGACTAGTAGCTGCTGCGACAGGGCCCAAGCGAAAGTCATTATTTCTTGGCTCACGTTTAGCTGACGGTAATGGAGATTGTGGCCTTCAAAGTAAATTGTTTTCTTTTCTTTAATATTAAGAGTTAACTTGAGGATCCATTGGCACAGTATTATATCGTAAACTTCATAACTTATATTTTTCTCCTTTCGTACACCACTGGCACACTATTTTTATTTCTTTATATTATTTATCTTTATTAACTTCGGTTGCGCATATCCAATAACATCAGCCGTAATGATAACTTGATAAAATATTGCCACTTTATTTCTCATTCACTTTTACTAGTCTGTTCCAAACTGACAAATCACTACAGCTTTGTCCCATTCTATTCATTATTATTATTATTATTATTTTATTATAATATTTTTGAAAATTCAATTTTAATATAAATTCTTTACTTTCTTCTTTGAAATTCAAATTGCAGGCTAACTATTGAAGAGTACTTTTTGATAAAAAATTTAATTTTCTACAAAAAATGTTCTTATTAATTTTATTGTATCTTGCGTCTTTAAGACACAATACTAGTAACCTTGCAGTCACTATGTGACTTGTGAACGATAAATAAATAAAATTTTGCTTTATTGAATAATGATATTTTTTAAATTGCACTGTATTTTTTTAACTATTGACATTTTTTAAGATATAAGCTCATCCCGATGTAATACTCATCAAGACCTTTCATTTAAGTACTCACATCATTGTTTCATATATTTTATATATTTATATTATATATAGATATATATGAATATATGATAAATATATAAAATATATGGAAAATTCATGTAGGTATTCAAATGAAAGGTCTCGATGAGTACGACGTCAAAATGAGCTTATATCGGTAAAAATATCATCAGTGAACAAAATACGATGTAATTTCTTAGTTATTGACGTTTTTAATGATATAAGCTCATTCCGGTGTAACACTCATTAAGAGCTTTCATTTGAGTACCCACTTGCATTTTTGATATATTTTTCATATATATACATATATATATAATATATATAAATATATGAAAAATTGATGTGGGTACTTAAATGAAAGGTCTTGATGAGTGTAACATCGGGATGAGCTTATATCTTTAAAATTGTCAATATTTCTCAAGATGCAAGGTCATTTCTTAATTATCTATCTAGAGATAGAGAATTTTCAAATCCAGCCTAAATATTTATCATAATAAATTGACTATCGGTGAGAATGAAATGAAACCTCTAAAAGGCACAAATTCAAGTCAAGACCTTAGTAATGATACTAAATTTCACTAAAAAAACCAATTTTATCATATGAATATGCTGGAAAAAAAATTTTTTTTTATTCTTTTAATAATATAGATTAATTTTTTATCATTAATATGCGGCTTAATTATCAATTTCTATATTGCGCACTATTATTAATATTAAATCAATTTTTTTTCAACCAACCCAACAAATAGGTAGTTTCTAAAGGCTCCATAAAGCACAAATTGAATTTTTATCCTATCTGGATCGTAAGACATATGCATGAGCTACAATTACTATTGCTGTATGCAAAGCATAATACGCTCACTGGGTATTTTCCTGTCTTTATTGATTCTGCGAAAAAAATTATAAAAAAGGTCTAATTTACTTGACTTTGTAGCATGGAGATGTATGGACGTTTGCAC